GTAAAAGTCAGTGAAGCGTTTGTGCGATACAAGCCCGAGGTGGCTGCATAATGAATTTAGGATTGTTTATTCTCTTAGTGGAAACAGCAGCATGGAAATCCAGTGCCTAAATTCTGTGAAAATGGAAGCTGAGATCTGTAGCCAATTGTGCAGATTTGTTTTTCAGTCCGTTTCCCAATAATCAACACTTCTCTCTTCCCCACTCTCCCAAACTCTATTTTTGCTTTGTGCATCTAAGACAGAGAAAATAGAAGGCACATTTTGCCTGCAAATGAAATCACATTCTGGCTGAGAAAGGAGTTCATGATGGATTGGAGTTTCTGAAAATTGAGATATTGGAGACACAATTTCAAACAGTTCCATTTTTTTTTTTGTCGTGTCCTGTTGTGAGAGAATTGGCCGTCTGCAAGGACGTTGCCCAGGGGATGCCCAGATGATTTTGATGTTTTATCGTGGGAGGCTTCTCTCATGTCCCTGCATGAGGAGCTGGAGCTGATAGAAGGAGCTCATCCGCCTCTCCCCGGATTCGAACCTGCGACCTGTCGGTCTTCAGTCCTGCCGGTACAGGGCTTTAACCCACTGCGCCACCGGAGGCTCCTTAACAGTTCCAATGAGGAGGAAAAATGGGAGGTGTCCAAAAAAACTAGAATGGAGTCTAAGGAACTTTCGATCCTACTAAGATTTAATAGTGATATGTACAAGAAATGGAAAAGGGAGGGAAATCACCAAAGAGGAATTCAAATGAATAACCAAGATGTATAGGGAAAAGGTGTGAAAAGCTAAAGCACAAAATGAGCTCAGGCTTGCTAGAGAAGGGTTTGTTTTAATTACTTCGGTAGCAAAAGAAAGAGCAAGGAAATGGTAGAACCACTACTAAGAACAAGTGATGGAGAAATGATCACAGAAGACAGAGAAAAAGCAGAATTACTCAACAACTTCTTGGCCTCAGTCGTCTCCACAAAATTAACAGTGCTCAGCTTGGGGTATAAATAAGGGAGAGGACGTCATAGGGAGGAGGAGGGAGAGAACTTGTTTTCTGCTCCCTGGAAACTAGGAATCAGAACAATGGCTTCGAACTACAAGAAAGGAGATTCCATCTGAACATTAGAAAGAACTTCCTGAGTGTGAGAGCCGTTCAGCAGTGGAACTCTCTGCCCTGGAGTTTGGTGGAGGCTCCTTCTTTGGAAGGTTTTAAAGAGAGGCTGGATGGCCATCTGTCAGGGGTGCTTTGAATGCAATTTTCCTGCTTCTTGGCAGAGGGTTGGAATTGATGGCCCATGAGGTCTCTCCCAACTCTATGATTCTATGGGGAAGATAAAGCAGAAGATGCAGTAAGGGAAATGCTACACAGATTAGGTAAAGAGGCAATACAGAAATATCTGACTAAATTAAATGAAATCAAGTGTCCAGGGCCATGTGAACTACATCCAAGAGTATTATAAGAACCGGCATAAGTCATTCAGAACCACTAGAAATCATCTTTGAGAATTTCTGGAGAAAGAAGTTCCAGCAGACTGGATGAAGGTAAATGTTGCCCCCATCTTCATAAAGGAGAAAAAAGAGGACAATTACCAGTCATCCTGACATCAATACCAGGAAAGATTCAAGAGCAGATCATTAAAAAGGCAATCCGTAAGCACTTAGAAACCACTGTAAGCACTTAGAAAGGAATGCCATACTCACAAAAAGTCAACATGGGTTTCTCAAAAACAAATCATACCAAACAGACCTCTTTTTAAATAGAGTTACAAACTTAGTAGATGAAGGGAATGCTGTGGACATAGCATATCTTGATTTTAGTAAAGCCTTTGACAAGATTTCTTGTGATACTCTCACAAAGAAGTTAATAAAATATGAGCTGGACAATGCTACTGTTAAGTCAATTGGAAATTGATTAATTGGTCAATCCCAAAGGGTGCACATCAATGGCTCACCTTTCTCCCTTCTGGAAAGGAGTGACCAGCAGGGTGCCACAGGGTTCTGTCCTGGGCCATTCAGGGTTATTCAACATCTTTATCAATGGCTTGGATGACAGAATAGAAGGTACACTTAACAAATTTATAGATGGCACCAAATTGGGGCCCTGGGGGAGGGGGATCATTAATACCCCAAAGGGATGGATCAGAATTCAAAATAACCTTACCAGGTTAGAGAGCTGGGCCAAAATTAACCAAATGAATTTCAGCAGGGAGAAATATACGGTACTACACCTAGACAGTAAAAATGAAACACACAGATATAAGATGGTGTTCTCCTCGCTAGAAGACAGCCCTTGTGAAAGGGATCTACAAGTCTTGGCAGATCACAAGCTGAACATGGGTTAACAATGTGATGCGGCAGTTTTAAAAGCCAATGCTGTTCTAGGTTGTGTCAACAGGAATATAGAGTTGAGCTCGAGGGAAGTCATAGTCTGACTCTATTCTGCTTTGGTAAGACCTCACCTGAAATAACCCTTTCTCCAGTTCTAGACACCTCAATTCAAGAAGGATATTGACCAGCTAAAAAGTGTCCAGATTTCCAAAAAATAAATGCCTGAGTTTTCACTAGAAGCCGCAAAGACTAACCTAGGACTATCAAATAATCTGTGATTGTCAAATCATGAGACGACATGACACATAGAAAAGATAAAAATGCCTGACAAGATAGAGGGCAGTAGGAAAAGATAGAGACCACATTCTAAGTGGATTATTTCAATCAAGGAAGCCAAAGTAGTGTGTTTTCAAGAGAGCAGAAGGGCTCTTTTTTCCTGGTTCTTGGCAGGAGGTTGAACTGGATGGCCCATGAGGTCTCTTCCAACTCTATGATTCTATGATAGGAGGGTGCCTTGGAGGTCTCCCACGTATAGGGTCACCATTACTTGAAGTTGAGTTGATGACAGTTAACAAAAACAACAATGATATGCTTTGACCAGCTTGCTTACAGTGAAATCTGCTAACATACAAAACTTGACAACGCTCAAAACAGTTTTTAAAAAGAAGAATATGAAATAAGAAGGTAGATCTGTCTTGGAACATTTCCCAAACAAGGGCTGGGATTTTACATGTGCTGCCTAGTCAGATAACTATCTTAGCTGCATAGCTAAGTAGCACTTCCCAGCCCAACTACTAGTGTCCACTTATTGGACAGCAGCCATTGCAAACAATAGTGGTCTGTTCTGTCAATCAAGACATGGCAGACTGATCTTTTTCACTGCCCTTCCCATGAGCAGGATTATAGTCACAATTCATCCTTTACCACAGATAGTTAGTAGGAGCAAAATGGAAGCATCAGTCATTCTCATCATCAGAATCATAGAATCATAGAATCAAAGAGTTGGAAGAGACCTCATGGGCCATCCAGTCCAACCCCCTGCCAAGAAGCAGGAATATTGCATTCAAATCATCCCTGACAGATGGCCATCCAGCCTCTGTTTAAAAGCTTCCAAAGAAGGAGCCTCCACCACACTCTGGGGCAGAGAGTTCAGGTGGAATCTCCTTTCTTGTAGTTTGAAGCCATTGTTTCACGTCCTAGTCTCCAGGGCAGCAGAAAACAAGCTTGCTCCCTCCTCCCTGTGGCTTCCTTTCACATATTTATACATGACTATCATATCTCCTCTCAGCCTTCTTTTCTTCAGGCTAAACATGCCCAGCTCCTTAAGCCGCTCCTCATAGCGCTTGTTCTCCAGAAGAATAGACTCTTGTCTCTTGCAGCAGCTGCTGCCCAATATAACAACAACAACAACAACAACAACAACAACAACAACAACTTTATACCCCACCACTATCTCCCTAAAGGGGACTCGGGACAGCTAACATGAGGCTAAACCCAAAATTACAATACAACAAAACAAAATACAAAGATGCAAAATATCATCAAAATAAACATATAAAAAGACAAAATAAAACAAACAGTTTCAAAATAACATGATAGAGAGATAGAACACAGGATATGCAAGTATTATCAATATAAATATAAATAATAACAATTTTAGATGATAGTCACCTAAATGACAATAGTGCAAGATAATTCTCTGCTGCCCCAGAAGATAGGAACAAAATAGTAGTTTCAGGTTACAGGAGAGTATATTTCACCTGAACATTACAAGGAACTTCTTGACAATGAGATGAGTTGGGGGTTGAGAAGGGCGGGGTAGAAGTACTCAAAATAAATAAATAAATAAATAAATAAATAAATTGCCCGGAGAGCTGGCTGGAGACTCCTTTTCTGGATGTTTTCAAAAAGAGTTTAGATAGCTGCCTACTGGGCATCCACTTGGTGATCTTGCACAAGATCATTGAGGTCTTGCATTGGATGCAGTGACCCATGAGACCGCTTCCAACTTTGTGATTCTATCATTCCAGTTTGAATTCTGAATGTTGCTGTAACTATAAGGGAGAGAATTTGACTCTGGGCATGTGAAAGTTGCTGAGCCTCAAAAGAGATGGTCTTCAAGGTCTCTTCCAACTCTACAATTATATGAATTTAATTAACTTCCTAATTGCTGTGTAATATGGGTTGTTGTAGGCTTTTTCAGGCTTTATGGCCATGGTCTAGAGGCATTCTCTCCTGACGTTTCGCCTGCATCTATGGCAAGCATCCTCAGAGGATGCTTGCCATAGATGCAGGCGAAACATCAGGAGAGATTGCCTCTAGACCAGTGGTTCTCAACCTGGGGTCCCCAGATGTTTTTGGCCTTCAACTCCCAGAAATCCTAACAGCTGGTAAACTGGCTGGGATTTCACCGTCTGGATAACCCATCCTGAGTTGGTTGATTTCCAGATTTTCTGGGAGTTGTAGGCCAAAAACATCTGGGGACCCCAGGTTGAGAACCACTGCTCTAGACCATGGTCATATAGCCTGAAAAAAACCTACAACAACCCAGTGATTCCGGCCATGAAAGCGTTCAACAATGCTGTGTAATATTTTGTGAAAATTGTCATTTATGTGTTAACAATTGCTTCGGAATGGATCTCCTCAAATTGCATCTGAACCTTGCTTTGCTTTTCCTCTTTCCTTTGCAGGTGAATGGAATTGATCTTCGTGGTGCTACCCATGAACAGGCCGCTGCGGCGCTTAAAGGAGCAGGGCAGACGGTTACAATAATAGCACAATACCAGCCAGAAGGTAGGCAGAGTGGAGACCTATCAAAATGGCCTTGGTGCCTGACATAGTGTTCAAAGTTAAACCTGTTTCTTGAATTCTTATTATAAAGTAGAAATGAAATATCATCAGATTGAAATGTTAAATTACAACTCTGTATATGTGGAGAGTGGAAGAGAAAGGAGGAGAGCAAAGTTCAGCATGAAAACCCACTCTGATCTTGGGCAAGTCTGGCTCAACCCAAGCAATGGCAAATTCCCTCTGTATAAATCTTTCCTGGAAAATCCCATTATAGGTTGCAAATGACTTGAAATCATACAATGATATTATCTACACTTAGAATTTAACCTTTCATATTCAAATTGCTTGATTTCCAGAAGTTTTCAAGATATAAGTATATATGACACAATAACTACTATAGTTTCTCTCTGATCTCTTCATTTCCTAATGTGTAGGGAAGCCAATGTAGAGCTCAAGGAAGTTGCTTTTTATACTACAGCTCCCATAATCCACCAGTCAGCATAGTCAAAGCCCTGCTTGGCTGTTGAAATCTAAGGGTTGTTTCCAAGTTCCCCCAATGCTGCTCTCCCAATCACATATTTTTTTCTTTACTGATGTCAAACTATCAGGGATCAATACAGGAGATCATGCAGTTACAATACAGTACATCCAATTAGTTTTGGCTACAGTTCCATCTAGTCTCCTGTGCTATTCTAATAATATAATATAATATAATATATTGTATATACATATAATATTTATAATATTATAATGTAATGCATTATAATACTAATAATAATATGATGTTATAATTATATATTTATATTACAAGTAAATTACTAATAATCTTACAATATAGTGGTATGGTGCAATATTCTGATATTGTACTATGCTAATGATGAAATGGAGCCCCCGGTGGCGCAGTGGGTTAAAGCACTGAGCTGCTGAGCTTGTTGATCGAAAGGTCGCAGGTTCGATTCCGGGGAGCGGCGTGAGCTTCCGCTGTCAGCCCTAGCTTCTGCCAACCTAGCAGTTCGAAAACATGCAAATGTGAGTAGATCAATAGGTACCACTCCGGTGGGAAGGTAACGGCACTCCATGCAGTCATGCCGGCCACATGACCTTGGAGGTGTCTACGGACAAAGCTGGCTCTTCGGCTTAGAAATGGAGATGAGCACCACACCCCAGAGTCAGACATGACTGGACTTAATGTCAGGGGACTACCTTTACCTTATGTAATATATTGTATGTATATATACCTTGTAAGCTGCTCTGAGTCCCCTTCGGGGTGAGAAGGGCGGCATATAAATGCCGTACATAAATAAATAAATAAATAAATGAATAAATAAATAAATTTTAAATTAAAATAATCAGGGTGGTCAGTTGAAACATTCACACCTAGCTCCAGCAGACAAGAGTCCTTTGTCCCACCCTGGTCATTCCACAGATATATAAACCCTTTTGCCTAGTTCCAACAGACCTCACTACCTCTGAGGATGCTTGCCATAGATGCAGGCGAAACGTCAGGAGAGAATGCCTCTAGAACATGGCCATATAGCCCGAAGAAACCTACAACAACCCAGTGATTCCGGCCATGAAAGCCTTCGACAATACAAATCCTAAAATGCTGGAATATGGGAAAATATTCCCTGTACTAATTGGAAGTGTGATCACAACCCCTCAAAGATCATTCCCCAAATCAAGTAGTTTCTCAGCCTTTTTATAGAAGCAGGCCACTGAAAAATTGCAAGAGGGAAGTGGGAGCAATGGGTGCTGCTATATAGTTTTTTGAACTTGGTGCCCAAATTTCATATTAGCACTATTCAAGGGGTAGAGTTCTTCCAGACCAAATTTAAAGCCCCTTGACTGTAGACCAGTCGGGAAACTTCAGTTCTCCAGGTGTTTTGGATTTCAGTCCCCACAATTCCTAAACACCTACCGGTTGTTAGGAATTGTGAGAGTTGAAGTCCAAAACACATGGAGGACCGAACTTTGCCCATGCTTGCTGTAAACCATAGGACTCCACCCAAATGGCTCCCACTCTTCCCAAATACAACCCCTTGCCTGATGCTATTCTAGCTGGGAAAAGTAGACCGTTGAACTTCCCTTTTAAATAGAAGGAAAACATCTTGGGAAATGTTATTTTATGTCCTACAGCTCAATGTTCTCAAAGTTGTACCCTAAAAATGGAATTTGCCAAGCCCTTCTTTGCTTTGACCTGTATGGTGCCTGTAAACAATCAGAACAGAATTAACTTGCCTCGCCTCCTGTATGAACTCATACAAAAATCCAGAGAACCTATTTTCCACTTCCAGTGAAGAAATGAAAAATTATAAACCAAGGTAAGTCTTTCATGGATGAGCCACAAGGTGGAGAATTTAATTCCTAGAGTCTCATGTTTAATTCACTTCTATGTATCACATTAAAACAATTTCATTTCAAAAACTATGTGGGTGTCAATGAAGCTGCCTTTTTCTGATGGTTTTACTTGCTTATGTTTTCTTTTAGCTTACACTTTCATTTTTTTTCTTCTGTTTTCTGAACTTCATTTTGGGGAATTATAGCTAATATTATATTGTATTACAATTATATTAGTAATTAAATAATATAAGCATTCCCTATATTATTTTTAGTTGTGACAATACTATCAATGATAAGGATTTCTCGTATAACAAGGGAGGAAAGCAAGTATACCTTTTCCTTTGTAACCCATCGTTCATAAAATTGATTTTTAAAAATAATTAGATGCACATTGAAATCCTATACTCAGATGCAAGTTTGTTGTGTTTTGGGTTGTTGTAGGTTTTTCTGGGCTATATGGCCATGTTCTGGAGGCAATTTTTCTCCTGACGTTTCGCCTGCATCTATGGCAAGCATCCTCAGAGGTAGTGAGGTCTGTTGGAAGTAGGAAAAATGGGTTTATATATCTGTGGAATGACCAGGGTGAGACAAAGGACTTTTTTTCTGCTGGGGCTAGCTGTGAATGTTTCAGCTGATCACCTTGATTAGCATTCAATGGCTTGGAAGTGCCCGGGGGGAATCCCTTGTTGAGAGTGATTTTATGTGCCTGTTTGTTTCCCCTCTGTTGTTTTGCTGTTGTAATTTTTGAGTTTTTTAATACTGGTAGCCAGATTTTGTTCATTTTCATGGTTTCTTCCTTTCTGTTGAAATTGTCCACATGCTTGTGGATTTCAATGGCTTCTCTGTGTAGTCTGACATGGTGGTTGTGAGAGTGGTCCACACTTCTGTGTTCTCAAATAATATGCTGGAGAAAAATTGCCTCCAGAACATGGCCATATAGCCCGGAAAAACCTACAACAACCCAGTGATTCCGGCCATGAAAGCCTTCGATAATACATTGTTGTGTTTTGTTGGTAATAGAATATAGAGGAAGTTTACTGTGGGTTTAGTTGGATGAAATATTTGTGTTTCCAATAACAGTTGTGAAATACTACTAATAGTTGTGAAATAACAGTTGTGAAATACCAAGCTCCTCCTCTGCCCCAGCCAATGTTTTGCTTATTTGTGCTTTGTATTGTTTGTGTGTGCGCCTACTGTATACAGATTAATCAGCAACTGGCTTAAATTATGTTATCTTCTGTTGTGCTTTTGTGTAAGTGGTTTTGATTAGGGACATTTGCTTCTGGGGGTTTCTTTTCAGGACTTGACCAAGCTAGAGAACAGCACTCTCAGTTTATGGGTCCTGTGTGCAGGGTATTGCTGGATCTTTACTGCCAACCATTAGCAGCTGTTCAGGGTTTGAGGCTCTAGCAGGGAATGCTTCTTGGAAGACTACTCCACAGAGAAGAGTTGAAATTTTGCCCAAGTCCTTTCCCTAGGCAAGACGTGTTCATCCTAATCTGACAGACTTTAAACCAGGCCTCCACAACCTGCGGTCATCCAGGTGTTTCAGATTTCAGCTCCAAGAATTCTTGGCCATTGGAACAGCTGGCTAGAGCTTCTGGAAATTGGAGGCCCAAACACCTTGTGCAGGGCTGCTTTAAACCTTTAAGTTGGTATATATTGCCACCACGCATCAATTCTCCTGTGGTGATCATTCTCATTGGGTTTAGTATTTCATTACCCTAGTTTAGCCAAGCCTTTTTGATCCCTCCTATCTGCAAACCCACCATGCATGCTTACTTGTTTGTTGCTGCAACTATTTTGTTACTAATAGAAATTAGAAAGTAAAATTTCAGTTGAGAACAACTATTAGAGAATGGGATATGAGCTAGCCCCCAGACAACCTTAAAGGGATTCATTCTTGCTACTGTCCCTTTGGAGATATTGGTGGAACTCTTGTTGTGCCACCCATGAACATTTGTACCAATTTGGCATTAGCATTGTTCAGGTTGAGGACATGGTTGCTTAAGACATGTAAGCATTTCTCATGGGTCTATTTGGTATTGTTATTGATTTGTAGGAAGATTAATCCCTTGGAGTCTTCACTCAATAATTGATGCAATGAGTCTACTTAGGTTGGGACAAAACAAGAATCCAGCCATGCAGTTTTGCATTTTTGGATGCTGTAGAGTTATTTGTCTGTGCCTTCCATGTACTCCTTGGTTCACTGTGATTGCAAAAACAGCTACTTTGCATCCCCCATTAAACAATAAACAGGGACACTGGCATAGAGAACCCATCGACTGTACAGTGTCGGTATTCAAAAGACTGATGTGGTATAATCAGTACGTAGAGGCAATCCATGGTTCTAAATGGTTCTAAAGTACTTACAAAAGTAGGGGGTGGTGGTTCTTTACTTCTACAGTGTTGCTAAAGTTCTGGTGGTGAAAATTTTAGAACTCTAACAAAACCTTAAATATTTCATTATTATTTCGTTATTGGTGATTTTTATAATGAAATTTTGAAAGTTTTGTTAGAGTTCTGAAATTTTCACCACCAGAACTTTAGCAACATTGTAGAAGCAAAGCACTAGCGCCCCCTAGTTTTGTAACTACTATAGAACCATTTAGAACCATGGATTGTAGCAAGAACGAAGACTATTCGGAGGCTTCAACTAGTCC